CCCCCCTCCCCCCCTCAATTTGTTCATGGCCACTCTCATCGTTCCCGTAGCTCGTTTATGTAACAATTCTCTACTAAGGCAAATTGAGATATGAATTCACCGCCCTGTTCTCTACTGCTAATGAGTAGTAGAGAATGACGTATATTCTCTACAAGTAGAGAAATAATCGGTATAGAAGAGTTACAGAAACGAGCTACAGATATCCGGAAAACGGAGTGGCCCCACTGATGAAACCTGGAAAACCGGCCAACAAAAGGCTCCGTTATGCATACTTGGCATTGCTTGAGAGTTGTCACATAAGGAATCTGTTAAATGAGCTTCGCGTGTAAGCGGTTACCCAACGCACAGCATTACATACGTAAAAGTCTGTTGGTTTTTGATTTCTACGTAAAAATGGTATAGCAGTGCATGCAATGCCAAGTATGCATAACAGAGCCTAAAGACGAGTGTTACGAAGCTAGGGAGATGCCAGACACTCAGGGAGCATAACATAATGCTGTGTAAGCAGTTTTCCTAGTAGAGGTAGGACGGCATACCGCCAGGCCATAACCGGCATTCACAGGGAGTCGGTCGCGACCTACATCGACTACCGACCTGTGAGTGCCGTTTTGATTGCACAACCACCCGAGCTTTGTTTGCCTCGAAACACTCGCAACATAATAGCACAACTTCGCTCTGGATATTACAGCAGGCTAATACCATGTTCTGACCGACAACGAAAACACTTTGAAAACGAGTTGTGGGCTGAAGGTTGTTCACACCGGCTGTTAGTGTTTTCGTTGACATTTCTTACATCCTCTCATTGCAGTTTTGCTACACAAAAACAAAACCAAAATGCTTTTCCCACATTTTCTTTTCATTAGCAACCTTTTACTTTCATTCTTATTTTACTTTGGCCAGCCAATTAACAATAAATACGAAATAGCGTATTAAAGATGATAAAATATGACTTCCACTTCGATAAATAATCGAAAAGAACTAGTGAAGACACCGATTGGAACGAGTGGAACGTGAGTTTTCAAGTAGTTTTCAGCGAAAACTGGTTTTCGTTTGACAGATTTTACATGGACGAAAACACATGTTTTAGGTCGAAAACTAGTTTTAGCAACGAAAACATGTTTTCGATGTCGTTCAGAACATGGTATTAACTCGTCCCAGGGCAGAGTGAATGTAGATGTACCCAACGAGTGCCCGGCATACGGAGAAGCACCACATGACTCACGGCACCTCTTCGCATGCCCAAAAACCACACGCAGCTAATGCCCTTGTCCCTATTGACAAACACTATTCGAGTTTCGAAATTCCTGGATCTCCCGTCAGGTTGAAGAGGCTGATTGTACGAACATGGCAACGAGTCCAAACATCGCCTGCCTTGCGGAAAAATCACTGACTATCTCACTAATCTTTCAAACTACTTCACTGTGAGGACCCTTAACACTTCCGCCGCAAAATCCGACACCGCACTTTTCATCACCTGGGCTTAGGAGGCAACACTGGAACTGGCCGTCGATGGCAACAGCATACCAACGGTCAACCACTCCGAAATCGTGGTTGTCGCGTTCTCTTTTTCAGCGCACGCTTCAGTCGCTTTTGTTTAAGTATTTGTCTTATTATACAGCCTAGGGATGGGTAGTGGGGCATTGAAATTCGATTTTTTCCGAATTTCGAACATTGCCCAACCATTCGATTTTTCGATTCGAAATTCGGTGGTGCAAATTCGATTTAATTCGAATTTTTTCGAATTTCGCAAAATTTTTTTGAAGTGAAACTTCTTAATCGAGTTCGGAGATGTTAGCGTTAAATATTTAACACCAAGTCATAAAATCTGTATTTAAAAAAATTAGGAGTCGAATTAAAGGCTTGTCCTTTGGGTCTGCAACATAGTTTTAGTTCTATGAAAAGGGTTGCCACAGGTTAGAAAATCAAATTCAAATAATCGCTTCCGCAGATGTTTGCGTTAAATATTTAACTCCAAGTCATAAAATCTGTATCGTTCGTTCGATTTTCAAAAAGGGGGTAGGTGTCAAATGAAATGTAGATGTGTAACATGGTTTTAGTTTTATGCCATATGTAAGAAAATCAAAATCAAATTACATATTTAATAAGTTAAATAAATTACTCCAACATGGGTATCAATCGAAATGGTTTTGAATAAACTTTTTTTTAATTACACTTGGGAGGGTTGCCATCTGTTTGAAAAGTCGGATTTATATAAAGAAGTGTTGTACTTAAAATACTATGCAACAATTAAAATCTTTTTGAGGAGCTTGAAGGGAGTGGCCACCTGTTTAAATAGTTAATCTTTAATTAGTTAATAAAATTACACTGTGCGACAGCCGAAACCAGCCCGTACTCTGTTAACATTTTCTGAATGTCTATCCATCCAGTAGTAAAACGCTCGATGGATATGTAAAAGTTAGCTCGTATTTTAATTTTATGGCCTACTAAAGTTTTCATATCTCGGCCTAAGTAGTTTTCAAAAAAGTCGAAAAAATAGTTAAAATAAATGTCTGAGCGAAATTAAAGGTTAAGACATATATATTAAAATTTCTTTGGAAATATTTTCGTAGAACATTTTAACCCGTTATCTCCCGCCTAAAACGGTCATATTTGACCCTTACTTCAAGAAATCTCGCAAAAAGCAAATTTTGCAGATCGTTTATGGATTGATATATTCCAAAAAATTATTCTCCGGAAAATTTTACTAGGGGTCTTCTCAGGCAAAAGCTTCATGTTACTAACGTAAAAGCCTCTAAAAATTTAAAATAAAAAATCAACAAAGAAACTAGTTCTTCTATAAAAAAAAATTTTAAATTCNCAAAAGCTTCATGTTACTAACGTAAAAGCCTCTAAAAATTTAAAATAAAAGATCAACAAAGAAACTAGTTCTTTTATAAAAAAAATTTTTAAATTGAATTTGGAATAACAGTTCCTTCTTGGCACAGATTTTTTGTTCTTATACATCAGATCAAAAAACATGTATTTTTCCTCGAATCCCTAAGACAAATGGAGTGCCACACACAGTGATGGCAAATTTAGTCAGAAAGAAAAAATTTGAGGAGTTGATTTTTTGGAAATAAAGATGAAATTCGATTTTTTCTGGAAAAATTCGATTTTATCCGAATTTTAGCAACACAAAGTTCGATTTCAAAAATTCGCCATTTTGGAGCTAAAATTCGATTAAAATTCGAATATCGAAGCTTCGAATATCGAATTTACCCATCCCTAATACAGCCACGAATAAACTTTCTTTTAAGTAATCCAAAAAGTATTTACNTCGATTAAAATTCGAATATCGAAGCTTCGAATATCGAATTTACCCATCCTAATACAGCCACGAATAAACTTTCTTTTAAGTAATCCAAAAAGTATTTAAAATTTTTTAACTGTTGGCAGCCCAGTCAACGACCCAATCACAATAGGGACCTTTTGTTTTGATAGCAGACAGCTGTTTACTGGTATACTGTGGTTTACTGTTTGGTTTGTTGTATGAAAAATTTTCCAAAAAAAAGATCATTTAATGTTATAGATGTTCGCTTTAAAATACACGCGATATATGAATTTATAAATTGTTACTAATAACGAACCAGCAACACTAAGTGTGTGCATAGAAGCAAGCAAAGAGCGCTTTTATTATCAGCTTGTGCATCGGCTTGGGCGTTTACTGCAAAATGGAGCAACTTTCTGGTGTTATGATTATCATCATAATTGGTGGCGGCGTTCTCACCTTTGTGATGCTATTCATCTTTGCAAAACGACAAATTATGCGTTTTACGCTGCGTAGTCGTCGCGGGCCGCATGTGCCTATAGGCAATGATGCAAAAAAGGTTCGAATGCAAATGGTAACCAATCGGAAACTATTGATGTCATTTACCCCCCTATTCATTATAGACGCTTCGAAGAGAGATTGAGCGCCGCCTCGATTGCATTCAGAAAATAGCGCAAGAGCCAAGGCTACTTTGGGATGATGACAAGTACATTTTGCGTACGGATCAACCGGTCCCACCCTACTATTATCGTATGAAAGCTGTTGACGATGTTAAAACTCTGGGTATGCAAAGTATAATTGCATTTCTTAAGTGTATTTGTAATCAGCTTATTTTCGGTCTTAGAATCGGAAATCATGCGCAGCGATGGTAGCATGCGACATCCGTATGACAGTCTACGTGCTTTCTTGCTCACTACACTTGCCGCTACGACACTGAATGGTTCGGGTCAACAACGTATGATACACCAATTTTGTGATATGTATGAGCATGCACGGCATGATCCAAATGACTTTGGCAGTGAGGAATATGAATCATATCGTCGTTTGCTGCTAAAACTGATAGAAGCGTACGTATATTTACATTTCAATATATTTTATTAAAAAAACAAAAAAACCTTTACCACTAGCGCTAAGCAACTTAAATCACTGGTCAGCTCCCGGAAAACATCGCCGGCGCGCACACCCAAAAAACAAACTAAAATGCATTCACTTCTCGACCCAGCGCGTTTACGACCACCTGCTACGGCACCTAAGCTAGTAGCAAGTAGTGGCTTAACTGTTGGGCAGCAATCTAAAGTAAATTTAACCCTTGGACTACAAGGACGCAACATGGATCCTGTGGATATGCCTTCAAATCCTTTACATTTGCAACCGCCACCCGAGCGCGACATCATAATACGCAATCGCATAAAAACACCTACTTTGGATGACGACGATGGTGATGAAAACGACTTTAGAGGCGGCGGGCATGATATCAATGATGTACGCATTGAAGATGTCGACGAGGAAGACAATGAGGTGATGAGTATTTCCTGAACGCAATTTCAACGCAATTCAAGTGTTGTTTGATTTTTTGAGTACGCGACGCATGCGCGCCACATGACCAGCGCTTTAAGACGCTTGCTACCGAAATAAAAGGAAGTGAGTAAGAGGAATGCAAAGTAGCGTTTACTAAGCGAAAGTATCAAAGAAAAGCGAAAATATTTAATTCGCGTCCTCTATTTAATCTTAAAAGCCAAATTCAAATGTCAACAGCTTAAAGTTTATACATATAAATATATAAAATAATTTCGGATTTAAGTTAAGTTATTAAGAAATTGCGAGCCGATTTTCATTACTAAATAAGCATATTAGCTATATTATATTAAACTTAGCGCAATATAATTAAATTAATCATAAATAAAGCTACCAAAAACAAAAATATATCTGTGTGTTAATTTTGAAAAAACATTACGTTCAACTACATATTTGTTAAATTTTTCATTATTAATATATCTGCAATTACTAATTAGTAACTAATATTTGATATCAATAAGCGCAAAAAAAATTAATAAAATAAATGAAAAAGCAGAACAATTAATAAACCCATGTCATCATACTCGGTACATACAAACACTTATCATTATAATCAAATTACTAGAATATCAATAGGCGCTCAAGGAGTGCTGCGCCTACCTTATCACTCATCCATATCACGCTGATAACAATCTACTCGATACTGATTGACGGTCTCTCTCATTGATATAGCAATTGAAATTAGTTGATTGACAAAGTTACCAGAGTGCGCGAGCGCGATACGGAAAATAAATAAACAATAGCCGAAGACCCCACAATTAAGCAAACACTAAATAAAGTAAACTCCTATAGTTGGCCAGAGAACAAGAAAATTTCCTAACATATTGTACTGTCTTACAAAGAATGCAGTGCATTGAGGGACTCGAAAATATAACCATATATGCACAAGCAACGATATCAATAGACAGCACTAATCACAGCATCCATGAGATACTTTTTGCGCCAGAAAATTGTGTTTGGAAACGCAGTGAACCAACATTTGCAGAATATGTGATTTATGCTTTTGTCGTCCCAGTGCTTTCCTGCTTCGGGTTATGTGCAAACTTTATCAATGCTATTGTTTTCATGCGTCCCAAAATGACACCATCAGCATTTACTTACCTTGCTGCACTCGGCTGGCTCGACTGTTTTTCTTGCATACTCATCTTGTTAACCGCGCTCTCGCGAAGCGTTTTCTACAACAGCATTTTTTGGATGAGGTACGATTTCCAATGGCAGACACCGCTATTTAGTATTAGCACCGGAGCGGCGAATCTTTTACTTGCAAGCGTCAGCTGTGATCGTTGGATTTATTTGAGGCATGGAATTGCAAACGGTGGTGGGCCACCTTGGTTTTGTCGTCGCAAAGTAGCTCGTCGTGTTATTGGACTGGTCATTGTTATATCTGTGATTATAAATATTCCATATTTTTTCGTTTTTGTAGTCAATGACGACGGCACATTTAAAGCACACAAATTATACTACACCACGTAAGTAAAGCGAGGGAATTCAAAAATGTTCACTTATTTTAGCGCGTTATCAGAACAGTGGCTGTCAAAATTTTTGTCAGCTGTCTTTTACCGCTTGAATTGCATTTCCGATTCTTCTTCTTAACTTAGAGTGCATAGTCGTTAGAGTTTTTTTTTGTAGGGTTAGATTATTAACGGTACTATAATCAGAGTCACCTTAAATTAACCTAACCTCAAAATTTACCTTTCTAAACGCCAAGTCTATTTTTTCTCTTTTAGTTTTTATAAAATAAGTAATTGGAGTTCTTTGACACTGTTAACACTTTTGCCCGCTATATTTCTTGTGGTCGGCAACATCGCCATCGTTATAGCGTTTCGACGTTGGACCCAGCAAAGCAGAAAATTTCAAAGGAATGGAAATGCCAACTCAAAAACAACACAAAAGCGTTATCATGTAAGCACAGAGTGGTTCCGACAAATTATTTCGAAAAAAAAATCACAATTTCCGTTTCCTCAATATATCAAATGCTTTTTTTCGGCAACAGCACCAAATGAAGTTAACTATTACCATTATCATTATAATTACACTTTATATGGTCGGGGAACTGCCGGCAGCGATGACATCACGCAAAAGTGCTTTGAATTTGCTCTTCGGCGGCGATGTATCCCGCGTAAATTTTAGTTTGATCTGTCGTCTTGAGCTGATTTGCTTAACCCTAAATGCACTCCAGCTAAGCATGAACATACTGGTCTATGCCATTATAAATCCATCGTTTATACCTGAATTTTTCGATTGTCTGCGTGGTGCTTCCGATGCTTGTTGCAGCATACTTTGCTTAATGCCACTAATAAAGTGTGTACGCAGAAATTGCTGCAGCACGAAAAATGATAAACAGCTAGACACAAACCGTGGGATAGAGTGCGGTTTGGAACATAAAACTGTTGATATCCGCAAAGAGTGTGAATCTGAATCGCAACGGGTTGAAGTGAGAAAGAGTGTGCGCGGAGGCAACGAAGGCAGAAGCGCTAGCGAAACTGGCAATTGGGATACTGAACCCGAAGAAGCTGCTGGTGTGTTTGGCTTCAACTTGTATCGCAATTGGCAGAACAGTGTAACAACGCGGCGCAAGCCAAATCCTTATCGCCATAGCGGTCGACACAGCACACACGAGCATGAAGTCTGGAGCACAGAAATGGCTTGGAAGCGGTCCACTTCATTTAGTGAGTATGTATTTGATAATCAGGTACTGCAAATTGATACTGTGATCGAAGAAGTAACTCGTGCCAGATTGGAAGAAATTGAGAAGCAGGAGAAGAAGCAGTGCAATGAAATTATAATTTCGCTCCCTGTTTAAATCAACAGGAATGTACAAAAAAAAAATCAAAAATTAATCACTGGTCATAAATAGAATTAGGGATATACCTACATATTTTAATTTATTATAATAAGAATACAACTGATTCAATAAAACACCTCATTTTAACCCACTATGTATTTCATTCTTGGATCGTACATCCTCCAAAGCCTGCCGAACGCGCTGTGGTGCATCCTCATCGTATTCTTTCTTCGCTTTCAAATTTGGTCTCACCAGGCTTGCACGAGGATCGGGGGATGCAGCACCATTTTCCTCGCTCTTAGACTCATTTGGTGCTGCTTGTGTGTCGATTTTTTTAGGCACTTGTGCAGGTAGTTCTACTGTGTACTCAGTATCTTCATAAATTACCGGGACGTATACAGCAAGCAGGGTTTGCCATTCCTTGTAGGCAAACTGGCGTGCCAAATCCATGTTGAAATCGAAAATTTGCATTATTGGATCTTTGCGGGTTAATTTCACTATTTTTATGCCAATTGTAGCTTTGGAATCTTCTGGCGATCCATATTCAAACTTTTCTGATGCATCAATATTGTCCATAGCCCATTCTTCTTCCAAGTTGCTATTAAACTTTTCCATTGGTATAACCCAGGCGTAGCAGATAGTTGTAAGTAAAATAGTTAGGCTTGAAATTATGAAAAAGACTTGATAATTATTCATTTTCGATACTTTAGCGACTTTGGTGTCGTCTCTTGAACGTCCGCTATGCAACTGACGTAGCTAAATACTTAGTTTCCAACAGTTCTAACAAAAATATTTATTACGTGGAGACTCGTAATAAAATAGAAAAATAAACAAAAGCGTTTCATTACGAACAAACGCATATACATATGTATAAACCTTAAAATGTGCATATAACTTAAAAACTAAAGTACTTTGGCTGTGAAGTACACTTGTGTACACAAATACACAAAAATATGTTTAACACACGTGATTCTAAGTCTAAGCCCTAATTACCCAGCATTTGAACCTTGAAAAAACATTTCAAGTAAATTGGGCAAACAATTAATTAAAAACAAAAACTTAACATATTAAGGTATTTTTAGAAAAATCTAAAAATTTAGGCTTTCCTAACCAATTATATTTAATATGTTCTTCCCTTGTGGTCAATAGGAATTTTGCTCCGTTGCTTGTCATTAGCAAATCAAATGCTATATAAAATCTTTTATATAGTTTCCAATTGAGCATCAGCAGGGAACATCAAAAAAACAACAAAGCAGCAAACAATTAATTAAAAACAAAAACTTAACATATTAAGGTATTTTTAGAAAAATCTAAAAATTTAGGCTTTCCTAACCAATTATATTTAATATGTTCTTCCCTTGTGGTCAATAGGAATTTTGCTCCGTTGCTTGTCATTAGCAAATCAAATGCTATATAAAATCTTTTATATAGTTTCCAATTGAGCATCAGAAGGGAACATCAAAAAAACAACAAAGCAGGATAAAAACGATAGAAAATTTAATAGCGGTATCGCTAAAGATCGTATTAATTTTGTACATACTATATTTTAACTGCCTCACTTCAATTAATTAAAAAGTTGTGCTTTTTCCGATTTATTTCTGAATGAATTTAAATTTGTACAACTAACGTACGTATATATGTACATATGTATACAACTTGAAAAATATAAATGTACAAAAAAAAAACAATAAAAAGAAATTTATTAGATTACGTAATTCAAATCGCAGTGAGACTAGTCGGTACTAGACACAGCAGCGTTGTAGTGCGAGTTCAATGTTGGCAGCTAACGCTACCGAAATGATCGAAGACTATCCTCCATCCTTCCTACGCTGATGCTAGCTTCACATTTACTTCTCCTTCTTTTCCGTACCATCTCCTGCATCCAACTGCTTAAGACGATCCATACGTTGTAAGAGTGTTGGATGTGAATGATTGCTGGCCGAGTACAACCAATCGTACACTGGGAAGCCCAAATTATCCAAATTAAGTTTAATTAAAGCTTGGCCTAATTGTTTCGAGAAACCTAGTCCATGTGCGAACTCATCGGCCTGATATTCAAAGTAACGTGAAAGTGTAATCATAGCAAAGTTTACAATAGCGTTATAGGGTGCCATGACATAGGTGAACACGACTAGCAAACCGACTATAACAGGGCGCGTGCCAGGTTGGAAGCCGACAGCTTCATAGAAGGGTCCATAGGTGAAGCAATATCCAAAAACGACGAAAAGTAAAAGTAAATGCACTTGTGCTATGATTATATTTTTGGTTACGTGGCCACATTTCCAATGACCCAATTCATGACCCAACACTGCCAGTACTTCTTCATTGGTACAACCCTTGCCTTTGTCTTCCTCTTTTAGCTCAGAATCATCTGGTTTACCTTTATTTAGTAATAGAGTATCAAATAGTACTATGCGTTTGGAGTTCCATAAGCCGTAGAAATAGGCGTTGCTATGTGATGAACGTTTAGAACCCTCTACAACGTATAGTTTGGTCAACGGGAATTTCAGCTGAGCAGCTAGATCTTCAATTGATTTACGCAACGGACCTTCCTCAAGCGGTGTATACTTGTCAAAAAGTGGCGCAATGAAAATCGGATAAATTGTGAGCAAAACCAAAGATGTGATGCCTGTGAAGAGCCAAAGCCAAATAAAGAATTGGTCACCACCATTCTTTACAATCCACACCGTTGCCGAGATGATAGGAACCATCAATACTTGTGTAACGATGAAGCCTTTTATTTGATCCCAGGTAAAAAATCCTACTGTCTGCTTATTGAATCCGTGCTTTTCCTCCAGCACAAATGTAGAATAAATTTTAAATGGCAAATCTTTGAATGTTCCAAGCACGCTTGTGACTAGCCCAAACAAGCAGCTGACGATTATTTCATTTTCTTCATTTAAATATAGAAGCTTCGCCAAATCTACTGCCCAGGCCCATTGCACTGCAATAAAGCCAGTGTATAGTTCGATGCCCATTAGTATTACATCTTTAATAATGGCACTAAATACACCGAAATTGGCCCTATCAAGGCCATATAAGCGCGCTTTTTGGAATGTCTCATCACTCATGCAGTCTTTTAGTTCCCTGGGGACTTTCAAAGCAGTTTTGTAAACTTGTATCTGTAAAATGTGGGGAATGTGAGTGACATTTTAATGTGCAAAGTTAAACGACTGCAATAAACTGGTTCGTGAGAGTGCAAAATTGACACGTGCTAAATTATTATTCAATCTAGTTCTGAAACTATGCAATAATTAGATGTTGTTTAGTTGCGACTCTACAACAATAAACTGCATGTAAATTTTGGGTACATATATACATGCATATGCATGTATGTATGTGCATACTCTAATGACTCAACAAAGGGGTAGATCACCCCCAGCAGAGACGAACCAATCGTTACTTAAAAATTGTTTGTATAGCCAAATAGCATTGAGCCCAATTATGCAGCTAATCTAGTAATGCGATTGCAACAAAATTGATCGTTTTACCTGGCGGTAAGTGATATATATATCAAATATATTCTCCAATAGGATCACTCCAAGAACGCTATATAGCACCACGTCTGCCGCCGGTATATCCATTTTTCGACGCCAATAATTTCTCCAATGAAGCGAAGTCTAATCAAAATGTATTGGATTCTGTAAACTGACAATATTTTCGAAATTATTAAACATTTATATACATACATATATTATTATTCCTAAATAATGGAGTGATAAAAACTTACAAAAATTTGGCCAAATTATCAAAGATAAGCGACGCCGCAAATTGGCAAATATAGGCAGCTGCTAGCTGACAGTTTAAAACCAAGATGCCATATCTTGCATTTTGAAAATACAAAAAGTTATCGACTAAAAATTTTCCTTGGAGTTATAGGACGGAACAAAGTAAAAATTTGACATTTCTCGTGGTGAATTCGAACGTCATGGGGGGTAAAATTTCGCTCTATAGGGCCTCCGCCAATTGATAGAAAAGAGGAAATTTTGACGGATCAAAGTAAAATTTTGAATTTTTATCGTGGTAAGTACAAACGGCAGAATTTTACCTAGCTCGAGAGGCTAGGCAAAATTTTGACATTTTATAAACATGTATACACATAATATTGCTTGGCCGTAAAAAAGAGTGAACGTGAAAATGAAAGCTGAAAAGCACAAAAAAAGCAGACGTTATTTACAAGTTATAAACCAAATATAAATTTTAACAATTTCAGGAACACGCAAAAATGGAGCTTTCGCACTAGCGTTTGTTTGGGNCCGGTATATCCATTTTTCGACGCCAATAATTTCTCCAATGAAGCGAAGTCTAATCAAAATGTATTGGATTCTGTAAACTGACAATATTTTCGAAATTATTAAACATTTATATACATACATATATTATTATTCCTAAATAATGGAGTGATAAAAACTTACAAAAATTTGGCCAAATTATCAAAGATAAGCGACGCCGCAAATTGGCAAATATAGGCAGCTGCTAGCTGACAGTTTAAAACCAAGATGCCATATCTTGCATTTTGAAAATACAAAAAGTTATCGACTAAAAATTTTCCTTGGAGTTATAGGACGGAACAAAGTAAAAATTTGACATTTCTCGTGGTGAATTCGAACGTCATGGGGGGTAAAATTTTGACAGCTTATAAACATGTAAACACATAGGGCCTCCGCCAATTGATAGAAAAGAGGATATTTTGACGGATCAAAGTAATATTTTGATTTTTATCGTGGTAAGTACAAACGGCAGAATTTTACCTAGCTCGAGAGGCTAGGCAAAATTTTGACATTTTATAAACATGTATACACATAACATTGCTTGGCCGTAAAAAAGAGTGAACGTGAAAATGAAAGCTGAAAAGCACAAAAAACGCAAACGTTATTTACAAGTTATAAACCAAATATAAATTTTAACAATTTCAGGAACACGCAAAAATGGAGCTTTCGCACTAGCGTTTGTTTGGGTTTTCAACTGTAAAAATTTTACTTTACATTTGGCACAGCAAAATTCTATTTATTTGTACACCATAGCAAATTTTTCCACACCGCCTCACCCTGGAGAAAAAAGTTGCCGATTGGCACAGGCCCATAAGATTGCTTGGCGGTAATAAAAAGTGAACATGAAAATGAAAGCTGTAAACGCGCAAAAAAAGCAAACGTTATTTACAAGTTATAAATCAAATATAAATGTTAAAAATTTCAAGAACACGAAAAAATGGAGCTTTCGCAGTAGCGTTTGTTTGCTTCTTCAACTGTCAAAATTTTACTTTGCATTTGGCACAGCAAAACTCAATTTATTTGTACACCTTAGAAAATTTTTCCACCCTTCTCACCACGAACAAAAAAGTTACCGATTGGAAAGATTTTCTTTGTACATGTTTTTTACGTGGTATATTTATAAGGTCTTTCTATCGGTGTCAAAGCCTTATGCTTGAAACACAATACACGGCGAACGGCGAAGTTCGCCGGAATGGGCGATGCCGTCGTTCACCGTTCGGCTGCTATTTCGTCTACTTTAACAGAATTAAGCTGAAATTAGTTNGACGTTATTTACAAGTTATAAACCAAATATAAATTTTAACAATTTCAGGAACACGCAAAAATGGAGCTTTCGCACTAGCGTTTGTTTGGGTTTTCAACTGTAAAAATTTTACTTTACATTTGGCACAGCAAAATTCTATTTATTTGTACACCATAGCAAATTTTTCCACACCGCCTCACCCTGGAGAAAAAAGTTGCCGATTGGCACAGGCCCATAAGATTGCTTGGCCGTAAAAAAGAGTGAACATGAAAATGAAAGCTGTAAACGCGCAAAAAAAGCAAACGTTATTTACAAGTTATAAATCAAATATAAATGTTAAAAATTTCAGGAACACGAAAAAATGGAGCTTTCGCAGTAGCGTTTGTTTGCTTCTTCAACTGTCAAAATTTTACTTTGCATTTGGCACAGCAAAACTCAATTTATTTGTACACCTTAGAAAATTTTTCCACCCTTCTCACCACGAACAAAAAAGTTACCGATTGGAAAGATTTTCTTTGTACATGTTTTTTACGTGGTATATTTATAAGGTCTTTCTATCGGTGTCAAAGCCTTATGCTTGAAACACAATACACGGCGAACGGCGAAGTTCGCCGGAATGGGCGATGCCGTCGTTCACCGTTCGGCTGCTATTTCGTCTACTTTAACAGAATTAAGCTGAAATTAGTTAAGAACGTAAACCTACCGGTACGTAAACCCAAGTCAGCTGACACGATCTGTCTTACCAAAGCGCCATGTAAATGAAAACTCAACACCGCAGAATTTTTCTGTAGTTGTAGCCCGTAGCGCAGAAATCTGCGGAATTTAGATTTTTCCGTGTCAGCTGATTTCTCCTTCTTTAGATGGTTGCCACTTCGTCAGTTTTACAGATGGTAAAAAAGATATAAGTTCCTATTCAAAATATGTTTAAAATATTTGAAATTTACTATTGAATAAGGTTTTTGTTGAAAACTAAGTAGTTTATATTTAGCTAAAATCTATTATAGCACGAAAAATTGTAGTTGAAAGGGTAAGTTTATGAAAAGGCATTGATGAGTGGCAACAGTGTAGTAAGCAACACTGAGGGCTCCAGTAATCGACAAAATTCTGCGTATACAGACTGCGTTTAAGTATACGTTCTGCGTTCTCGACTAATTTCAGCTTTAGAGCGGTAGCGAAAATAGGTGATATTATGCGCGTTCCTTATCTCCCAGAAATAGTCAGAAAAAGTCCGAAGTAGTCAGATTTAGTCCAAAAAGCGTTCCTTAACTCGGAAATGACAGCAAAAATGAGAGAGCAACAGTCAGTGAGAGCGACTCTCATCAGTCCGAAGTAGTCAGATTTAGTCAGAAGAATTTTTTCTGGCAAAATCCTGAAAAGTGTCAAACTCAACTGAATTTAAATTAACGGAAATTAAAGAATACGCAAAAAGTTAGAATAATCTAAAAAGTAAAAGAAATGAATTGAAATTGGAAGGAGGCAAAAAATAATTGATATAGCAAGTGTTTATTGTGCTTGTGCTTGTGTGAATGTGTTTTGTACATACATTTCTGTTCTTATTTGACGTTAGCTTTGTTGTTGCCATTCTTTGGACTAAAAATTTGGTTTTTTGCGTTCCTTTACTTTTCCTGTTATTCTCTTTTAGTGAGCGCATTTTGCTTACGCTCTGGCATTATGACACTTTTCAGATTTTAGTCCAAAAAGATAAGGAATGAACCTACTATTTCGTCGCACCAGGTGACCATATTTTGAAAAACGAAACCATATTTAGAAATGATGAAATGATAACAAATATAAATATAAGGACAGCGGTGNAAATGGAGCTTTCGCAGTAGCGTTTGTTTGCTTCTTCAACTGTCAAAATTTTACTTTGCATTTGGCACAGCAAAACTCAATTTATTTGTACACCATAGCAAATTTTTCCACCCTTCTCACCACGAACAATAAAGTTACCGATTGGAAAGATTTTCTTTGTACATGTTTTTTACGCGGTATATTTATAAGGTCTTTCTATCGGTGTCAAAGCCTTATGCTTGAAACACAATACACGGGGAACGGCGAAATTCGCCGAAATGGGCGATGCCGTCGTTCACCGTTCGGCTGCTATTTCGTCTACTTTAACAGAATTAGAGCGGTAGCGAAAACAGCTGATACTATTTCGTCGCACCAGGTGACCATATTTTGAAAAACGAAACCATATTTAGAAATGATAAAATGATAACAAATATAAATATAANAAAAGTGCATTACTTTTGATCCACATGGGTCAAAGGGTCACACTGATCATGATACTCAATATTGAGTTTCCGATACTACTCAGTACTCAAGAAAAGTATCGATATATCTACTCTGTACACGTATAGTTCCATGAACCAAAAATACAAGATCACGTAAGAACGCGACGCTGTATTTGAGAAAAAATTTTGCGAAAGCGGGTTCGTCAGCTGAGCGTTTGTTTACATCACAATCACCACTATTTTACACTTTTATTCAAGTAAAGAAGAGTTAACTCAACATGACAACACATTTTAAAGCATTTTGTTGCATCAATTTACCTAAATTGTGCGTTTAAAGTGGCTGACAATAATTTTGGCTAATTTTGGTTTTCGTTGTTTTCTTTGCTTTGTTTACCTTTCGCTCGTTTTCCAGTGAAACAAGATGGCGTAGAACCCGCTAAAAAATATCGACTTTTTTCACTCTCTTGTTCTTACGTGATCTGGTGTCTTTCGTTCATGGTATCGTTCCATGATCCAACTACACAAGATCTGACAAGATGAAGCAAAAGAAAAAAGTAATTTTCTGGCTGACGTTTGTAATTTCGGCGCCATGTTATTTTCTGTGAAAAGTAAACAAAGAATATGAAGACGAAGCATAAAGAAAAAATGCAGCAATATTGTGCTCATTCATTTTAATTACATTTGCATAAAAAATCACTTAAAAATCACTGAAATAAACCACCGACAAAATACACATAAAGAAAGAAGCAAAACAGAAATAGCAAACTTCAAAATTACGAACGTCACACACTTTTTTCTCAATTGCTATTACAAATGGCTGCTTCTCAACCGGTCAGATCTGTTCTAATTGGTTCATGGTATCGTTCTATCACTACATACTAGTATTGGAAAACTATCGATAGTGTATAGTTTTGTTAGCTATAGTGCAAAATATTCGATAGTATCGATACTATCGAAAGCTTGTTTTTACTTTGCAAAATTCAATGGCTTTTCTCGCCAAATATGTGAAAACACATTGTCAAGTGAAACTGTAAAAAGGGTTCTCGCTTGACTTAGATCAGAATAGATCTCCAGTCGCGTACATGCCCAGCTAAATGTCCGGTTTTGGCTCATAATATATTCGGAAAATATTGTNAAGTGAAACTGTAAAAAGGGTTCTCGCTTGACTTAGATCAGAATAGATCTTCAGTCGCGTACATGTCCAGCTAAATGTCCGGTTTTGGCTCATAATATATTCGGAAAATATTGTATAAACAAAAAATTCACAACATAGAACTTGTGTAAAACAAAAAGAGATCGTGTATTTCAATAACACATTTTATAACAAAAACATGTTATATGTACATATATTTTATAGTCGATTTCTAACAGTGTGAACAAAATATACAACTATCGATAATGCTAAGAAAAATTGGATAGTGGCGACAATATGAAACCATCGATACTATCGATAGCCCCATCGATAGTCCTCCATCACTACTATATACAATGATATTTGACATTTCGTGGATACGGATTTTTGCTATTTGTAGGAATAGTTTCGTGTGTGATTTGTATGAGCAAATCTATAGTTTTAAAAAGTTTTCATTCCNTCGATACTATCGATAGCCCCATCGATAGTCCTCCATCACTACTATATACATGATATTTGACATTTCGTGGATACGGATTTTTGCTATTTGTAGGAATAGTTTCGTGTGTGATTTGTATGCGTAAATCTATAGTTTTAAAAAGTTTTCATTCTATAAAAGGTTTTACATATATTGAGAAATACTATGCCTGGTGGAAGTGCTAGAAAACAAAGTGGCGGAAATGATTCAGCACAGAAAAACAGCAGTAGTAGTTCGTTGCGAAATGAAAGCGTTTCGCCGGGGAGTAGCAGGGCGCGAAAGAGGTTTGTTTGGAGCTCTTAAAAGCGACAGGGTGTTTTGTTATGTGTTTCCTAAAATCCAATTGATTACTTTTACTTACAGAAAGCGATGTGAGGTCAGAAGATTCAGCGACAGTGATTTGGAGTCCGAATTGGAGGATTGCAATTTCGAAGATGCGATTGCCATTGAAAGGAAATTGCGCAAAGTGGCGAAAGATAACGACCTAAGTGATGAGGAGATGCGACAATTGTTGCAGGTGATCTTATTTTGAAATATATGCAGCTGGCCTGATTGTTGTAACGTTTATTCATAGAAATTTGTTAAAAATGAACATATTCTTGCACTGGTAACGCTCAAAGCAGAAGATGAAATAGCACGTGAACGACAGGCATCTGAGCAGCCAGCGATTATAATAACTGACACGCCGTCTGTGCCAAAATTGACGCGCGCAAAAGCTCGCGAGTTAAATAAAACTGCAGGTATTACTTTATCTACACTAACTGAGAACAAGGAGCCGGAGATTGCAGCTCTCATACAAGATGAACTGAATTCCGATGAAGAAGATGAGGAGTATGTATTTCAAGAAGAGGATTTTATTGTAAGTACACATGTATTTGAAAGAAATAATCTTTGCCCGTAAAATGCCAATACTTTAGTCCGATGACGACCCCAGTACCAATACCTCAGATCTGGATTCCAATCCACGTACACCACAGACACCTTTATCTCAAGCAGAGACTGATGATTCTCCGGTTAAGTTTACAGCTGATGGCTGTTTCAAAATACCATTGGAAAAGCCTATAAGTACGAGGGAGGACGTGCGTATTGCGGCGCGCACACGATCGAAGTTATGCCTACAGCAGACTGCAATCGAAGATCTCGAGTCGGAATTTGTGCCACCCGATGTGGAACATATTGACTTACAGGAGGTGGATTTAACAGCCAACGATGAGGATTGGATGCAGTTTTTGAATGATTTTACTAAGCCTTTAAGTAACGACTCTTGCAAGTATTTATTCTATAATACTCTAATTTTAACAAATTGCAGGCTCCAGTTTTATAACAGACGATGATGATCCTATCAATGATCCGGAATATGTAGCGGCAGATAAAATAACAGGTATTCTACTTAAAATTATCTTCGAGAGAACATACATATCAAACACCTATTTGCAGAGGATGCGGAAGAATTACGCGACATTAACATACCCAAAAAGGAGCTTACCGAGCTCGTTGCCGAACTATTCGAAGGCCTCTTTAATGAAGGTGTATCGTTGGAAAGTGTCGAATTAGATACACCACAGAAGTTTTTGCAAAGTGACTTAGAACAGTCAACTATTACGGATGGCGCTAATCGTAGCATCTCCGCTGGCACAGCTGCCGCATCGTTTAGTGATCAGCCTGAATGCGAAGGCAATCCAGTGACGCGACAACTTAATTTTGACACTCCAGCACAACAGCAAGATTACAATCCAGTGCAACTTTCTCAACAGCAGCAGGGATTCGTGTCCGTTGTGCCTCCCTTAGTTCCTATTAGCAATGTAGCGAATGTGACTCAAAACGATTACTCATTTCATCCGGATATCATGTCCACTCCTGCACCGACAACTGGGCAGCGTGTGGGCAATACCGCAACGCAGGTACAAGTACCAGTGGCATATAATTCCGAAAATGATGCGAGCCAAGTTGTCACACTGCCCACGACGTCGTTAAGTGCAGAGCCTGAATGGATAGCAGTTAAAATTCCAGGTCCAACAAATTCGTATCAATTAGCACGTGTTGTAGAATCAGCGAACGCACTTGAGCCGCCGCCACTAGTAAGAATACAGCCACAAAAGACAACAGAGCAACACAAACCAAAGCGTCCTCCTTTACCCCCTCCAGAGGATACACGATACAGTGTGCCTTACGATACCAACTTTACATGGGAGTATATTTCTATAAGAAAGCATGTTTATACTGAGTATATATCAAAATTTGAAAATCTTCGTAATATACCGCCACCGCCGCAAATAGAGGAGGCACCAAGTAATGCAATTGGCTTCACAAAACAGCAACATGATATACTACAGCAACAGTTGCGCATGCATGTACAAATGCTAACGCAAACATTTATACAAAGCTACTCGCATCCGATTTATTGGAAGCTTGCTCTGAAAGCGAAAGACATGTTGACAGAGTTAGAAGAGAGGTCGAAGGATGATGCATCCTTTCGTGCTTGGAATCTAAAAATAGCAACGAAGCTTGTAAGACAATGGGAAGAAGATTTGAATAAAGATACGTACGAGAATAAAGAGATGATGAAGTAAGTAACATGTTGATAACGACAAAGTGGTATTAATGGTTACTTCTCTTTACAGATTTATACACAGCGAAATTGAGTTGACGTAAGTGCTTTCAAGTTTCCTACCATTTCCTTGTTCTCAATTCCGGCTTATCATTCCAGCAAGAATAATTGTCGTCAGATTGCCCGTTTTCCGCCTCGAATTATGGACCTAATACTAAATAGCAAGGTATTCATGTATCCGGAATACTTACCTCGGATACCTTTCACTTCCAGAATCGCGAGGTACCCCATTTTTTCTCCCGCTGAATCGCAGCTTATTGCTATGGGTTTGGAAAGGCATATACAACGTATTCACGAGACAGGTGAACGCATATCGAAGAAAACCACTGAGCTAAAGATTGCTGTACTGCGACTTGCAAAGGACACCGTGTACGGTAAATCAGCGAGGCAAATATGGGCTCGTGTGAAAGCTTTAAGGAATACAGATTATTATAATCCCGTAAAGGTGAGTGGCTAAGACAAATTATTGCTTAGGACTTTTAATATTTTCTTTTATATATTTTTATCTAGTACTACTTTGATAATAAGCGCGCTCCGCCAGTTGAACACAAGTTAATTATGTTTCAAGACAACAAAGTATTAGCGCCCAAAGACCGTTACCAAGAGTTACCGCTGGCCTGGCAAACGCGTATAGACGAAGTGAGTAGACATTCATCTATTTTTATTTGCAAATTTATAATTGTGTGAATGTTAGCCCGTTGTGGGAATAGCTAACAGTTTCAGATCCAGTTACCAAAAATAATTAGCACTAATTCTTTTTCAGTTTTTTATTTTTTGTTAAGTTTAGTTTGTAATTTTATCAACGCTCACTGCATCTACTGGAATTTTTTTTATATAAAAGGATACGCTTTTATTATTGTTAAATCACATTCCGTGTCTACTGCCGACACGGTCTCTAGGAATCAATCGCAACTCTGATCCGTGTTTCAAAAAAACATTGCCTGCTGTCTGTTGTGGGCTGATGCCAATTCCGTCGTCTGTAATTATGGCACTTGTTGCCGCTGGCACTTTAAATTCTTCAGCAGCAAATTTCAGCACTGCTGTGAAGGGCGTACCTTCTGGTACACTAAGCACCTTAAATGGAAGCTTGGGATCCGATGTTAGTGTAATTTTAAAGGTTACTTTTGAACTCATGGCTTATGTTGGTATTTGTACCGCCGTGCAGTTTCTAGTGGTTGAGATATGCAGTGGTGCGCACGTCTGCTTTCAGGTGTTGTGACGTGGTCAGTTTTAAGAACTTGTTTTCAAAGCTGCCAATATCCAATGTGTAAACTAGCTATTTTTATATCTGCTCGAATTTTCCAAGTGGTAAATTGGCAAATTTCTGATTTATTATGATAAACGATGATAATATTTGGGTATTTTAGATAAATTTATCTATTTGCCAATTTGCACTTCGTCTATTTAGGAATTCCCACTTGACTATGCAATTGGCGAAGCATGCGATAATTTGATAATTTAAAATTAATGAAGTTATCGATTGTTTTCTTTCAACATATGTGGGACTACGAAATTTGAGGCATTTTTTTATTTTTATTATATTTATTTATTTTTAAATATTTTCTTTTCAATTTACTCAATTATTCCTTGTTAAATGTTATAATTAATGAACTATATAGGAATGCAGCAATTCGGTAAAATGCAAATTATTCACTGTATATCGGTAGTATTTTGTTATCGGTGCCATTGATTATTGACAATCCTCGATTCATTCACGATAGCAAAGTCAACTAGTGGCAAAAAACCTTCGATAGGACACCATCGATATTCGCAATGGAGAATTTCAGTACAGTGTCATCGATAGTTAGCCACCACTATCGTCAACTTAAGTTTGGTCATGTTTATTTTTGATATTTGCGCAGTTAGTTGACATCTGGTAGATTTGCACTATGTGAATTTTGCATTTTTGTTAAAAATGGTTTTACTTTACTGCAAATACTCATTTTATTTCATTCTATACAGAAACGCAAGGCCAATAGAAAAAGGGGAACCAGAGCATCTGAAGNGCAATTCGGTAAAATGCAAATTATTCACTGTATATCGGTAGTATTTTGTTTTCGGTGCCATTGATTATTGACAATCCTCGATTCATCACGATAGCAAAGTCAACTAGTGGCAAAAAACCTTCGATAGGACACCATCGATATTTGTCGATGAGTTTTGGGCAACTATCGATGGTGTCGATAGTCACTTTCTACGGATGGGGCAGCACTATCGATACTTCGCCATGGAGAATTTCAGTACAGTGTCATCGATAGTTAGCCACCACTAACGTCAACTTAAGTTTGGTCTTGTTTATTTTTGATATTTGCGCAGTTAGTTGACATCTGGTAGATTTACACTATGTGAATTTTGCATTTTTGTTAAAAATTGTTTTACTTTACTGCAAATACTCATTTTATTTCATTCTATACAGAAACGCAAGGCCAATAGAAAAAGGGGAACCAGAGCATCTGAAACAGCTGGCGCCTCGTACTTACAGTTTGTACGCGAGGCTTTAGGCGAAGAAATACAATTGCCGGATAGCGGTGATAGTGCTGCTACATCAGAAAACCGCGGAACTAACTTTTCCTGCTTTTCAAAAACGGGAAATAACATTACTAATACGACACGTTCTAAAAGATATTTTGCAAATAGTGTGACGATAAATGTAAATTACCATTTTAGTGCCACTACACCAGCTAGCGAAATACAACGACCCATCAACACCACGACCGCAGTTGCACTGCCAAGCATTCCACCTTCCAACCGAGACTCGCCAAACGCCGCTGCTTTGGGATTCACGCCACTGCCGAAAACGCCTCCGTTAGCCAACGATAGTGTGGTATCGTTTAATTACGACTGGGGTACAAAAAGTTTGCAACCTATTGTTGAACCCAAGGCCACAACAACGCGCGCAACTACTTCAAATAAGCAAGGTCTTCCAAAGCAACGAGACCTAATAAAGACCACTCGAAAACGCCATAAATTAGGCCTCCTTGGCCACTTAGGCCGAAGTCGCTTAAAAACTTTACGCTATTTCGCCGTGCGGCGTGCGAGTTGCACTCTTGATCGGCAAAAGAGAAATAGGCGTCGACTGAAGAAACGCTGTCTAAGTCTTTTGACCGCATATCGGACTAATCTAGAACGAAATAAACTATGTTACAAACGTTCACCTGTTGTGTTAAAAGTATATAAATATATCAAAGCTTTGGAATTGTACACAAATTTGTTAGGCGAACTTAAAATGGCTTGTCGTAATTCTATCACAGTTACTGGATCTAATGCCAACGATGCATCGGTTACTAACGGCGTTGGTAACTCGTCACAAAATTCATCAACGGCGAAATTTTTTGTTCACAATTCGCAACAATATTATGGCAAACGATCACGCGCGCAACTTGCGCAGCAGCAAGCGCTCGAGGATGAGTCGAGTGTAAGCTCGCGTAGCAAAAAAGCAAGTCGTCAAGAGGAAAACTTTAAACATATGCTTTTGCCAGACAGTGCTGAGGATGCAAATCGAAAGGATGCCAGTGAGTATTTGATAAAATATATGTCAATAAAGTGCTTATATAATTTGTTTCCAGTTTATGCTTTTAACTTCTATGAAAAAGTGGAGGAGGCTTTCAAGGCCTCAAACCGTGCTGAAGACTGTAAAAGATTTAATCATATACTCAAAACATTTGATCCGCGTCGCGATAAGGTGTCTGATTTGTATTATGTGAGTAAACGAATTTTGACTCTAGAAAACTTTGCTAAAAATGTTTATATTCTCACTTAGAAATTAGAACGTCTTTTTCTACCCGACCATCCTGAGCTGGCTCAGGTGTTCCTCACATTTTTGTTACCCTCGGAGGCGGCGGAAATAGGAAAATTTTTCGAACATTTCATGATTAACAACATGACTACATTCATCAACAAATTGAATATTTATTTCAATAAGCAGCCTGCGCAAATACGGAAGATCTATAATTGTCTAGCGGAGCTGGCGGATGATCCAGAGGTTACTCTCAAAAAAGTAGAATCAAAAATTCTACCATTACTCAAGGGAAATCAATTTCTTATCGACTGGTTTTTGCAACAATTTTCCGAGGCGAAACCGCCCGAGAGGTAAAAATACTTATTTATTACATGTTTTTCAATACACCAATTACATACCTTATTTTTTAATAGAATATTCTCCACGCCGGAACAAGTCAACTTAAAGGAAGTAGAAATCAGACCGAATTTGTATGAGTCGCTAAATGATCCACACGATGCGGCAACGCCATGCTGTGAACTGCAACAGCAACAACAACAAAATCAAGCACACAATTGTCAACTCAGGGTAAGGGATTATACCAAATCGATCCAAAAATAAAGTGTCTTAAATAATTTACTATTTCACTCATAGTTCATCAATGGTCGCATTTTCTATGGCACCAAAATGACGCTGCCTGCAAAACTTTCCTTCATGGCTAGCAACCAACAGGCGGCTAACATCAATGAAATTGATGCGGAAGATTTGTTAGAGCAGTCAATACCTGAATGCGTCCATGCTATACGAGAACATGGTGATAAGCAACTGGCAGCTGCTGCGGACAAAGCTGCAGCAAATGCTGCCGCAGATTGTAGCAGTGATGACAACGAAAAGTCCGAGGAAGAAGATGTATCTAAAGGTAGACTTTGATTTTTAATAATAATGGTATAAAATTGTACTCTCCTCTTCACTTTGCAGCACTCGTCATAGATACCGCCAATGAAGACGATAGCAGCTCATCCATGGAAACCTGCGACGATACGGCTTTACGCGCGCACGCCATACGACTCAATCCATCTTATTATGGCAATACATGCTTTGCCGCCGTTACCAGCACACCAAACACCAGCAGCAATCATGCACCACATTATCCGCATGCCAGGAAATCGATGCTAAATTTCAACGACGATGGAAAGGTGGCATCACCACGTAAGCAATTAACACCAGGTGCTCCATGCGGAAATACAAACCCTAGTACTTCCACATCCACATCATGCCTCTCGCCTGGTAATATCGCAGTCATCAGCGGCGTGTTATCCAACGCCACTCAAATTGTTACAGCTAACAATGCGAATGTTTTAGGCGACAGTAGTACCAATTCACAAACGAACTCATTACAACAGATACGCGATAGACGTAAATCACCCACTAAGAAGAGCAGATCGCCTGTGAGTACGCACCGTGGGCGTGCAAGTGGCGGCCAAATACAGCCAATGGTTGTGGTGTACGAACCAAATTCCGCAATTGCTTGCGCTAAGAAACTGCAATCATTGATTGCTGAGGATGATAATGACTGTGAAATTGATAATAAAGATCGCCTTTCAATTGTTGCATGCGCAAAGAAAGAAAACGTACCAAGATTAGAGCCGGCCGACGAAGACGGCAGCTTAGTATCGCAGTCGCACCAACAGAGAGCGCCTTCTCCACACACACCACCACTGCTACCAGTAACCAAAGTAGAAATAATCGATAATTCAGATGATATGGAGTTTATATCTGAAAATGCCGAGGTTACGCATTCATTTTCGCACGCTTCTATCGATAGATTAGCGCAATCACAGCATGAAGAAAATGCAGCACAGAAAAATATATTCACAGCTACGACGACGATAATTACGCCAACGCCCAGCGTGGCGGAGCAACCTGCTGCAAGTGAAAGCTATACAGAGGACTGTAAGTTGGATGTTGTAGCCACATTGGCCGCGTCTACCACGGAAACTACCAATCCGATGACGAATACAACTCACACGCAACCTAAAGCGCCTACCGCTTGGACACGGGAAGAGGATAAACTAATATTAATCGAGATGAAGTTGAGCGCGGGCGTAGAGCAGGAGCAGCTTTTCGAACGTATGCGGGCCAAGCTACCGGCTCGTTCTCTTAACGAGATTGAGGGGCGCTATCATTTTCTAATGGACTTTTTGTGCAAGTTGCAGGGCAAATAATTTATTTGAAATTTTATTTATTATTATTAATAACTGTTTCGTACATAAAGGAATTCTCAAAATAATGTACATAAATTCTATGAATTTAACTAAATATTGAACGTAATAACTTTTCAGTTATCAATTTAATATTTTTCTAATGTGTTTAGTTCTAGAGGAATTGCACTTGGG